GATGGGAGGTGGCTGATATGAGTGAGACCATCACCACTGATCTTTTCAATCAGAAGGTGCAGGCAGACTGGGGCGGTGCCCCCATGAGCCAAGGATCGCTGGCGGCCACCAGACCCTGGAGGAGGCGAAGAAAGATTTTTCCCTGGAGCCCTGGCAAAGAGCACAGCCCCGAGGACACCTTGGTTTGCACTTCCTGCCTCCAGAGCTGTGACAGTACACTTCTGCAGTGGGAAGCCCCCACCCCCCCACCCCCCAGCGCGTGGCACTTTGAAACCAGCACAGAGGGGACCCAGGACCTGGAACCAAGAGGACCCCAAAGGGAGCTCTCAGGGGCTGTGAGAACACTCAGCAGCAGCAAGTGGGGCACCAGGAGAAGACTCCAGTCCCTCTGGTTCCATCTGACCCAGGGCAGAAGCAGATGTTGTAGGAGCCAGCCAGCCAGGGACAGTCGCCAAGCCAGCGTGCCTCCGCGCTCTCCGCCCGTCCCGTTGAGCAGCCCGGCTCCCCATCCATCTGTTTGTACCTGTGGAAGGAGAAGCTCCATCCGACCAGACCGATGGCAGGTCCAGATCAGGAAGGGCTGTGGTGTGTGTGTTCTCTGAGCTCTGAGTGCTTGCTGCTTGGAAGGCTGCCTGGCTGTGAGTTCTCTAGTTGGGAAATTACAGGGACAATAAGCCCCGCGTCCTTGCCTCTCATCCTTCTTTCTGCACCATATACCCTCCCTGTTTTCTCACTCCTTCGTTTCCCCATTTTGCTAAGCTCCTGTGAGTGCCTTGCATGCCAACCCAAATCCTTCCCGCCCGTCCATCAGCAGATCTCAGCACTGGTCCTGATTGGCCGCATGACCCTGTCCTGCCTTGTCCCAGGGACACTGGGCTTCTCCTTCCACCAAGTTCAGATGGAGCGCCTTCCTCATCGGTGAAGGCAGCAGGTCTTCAGGGAACGGGGAGTGGGGCACAGGAAGCTCTCAGCAGAGCTCCCGGGACAGTCAGGCTCAGGAAACGATGCGCAGCTTCACGAATCCATGGAGCGTCAAGGTTAATTGCAAAGACCAGGGGCCGGCAAACAGCCTGTGAGCCAAGAATGGGTTTTCATGTTTTTAAATAGTTGAATAAAAAAAAATAAAAGAAGAAGATATTTTGTGACATGTGAAAATGATATGAAATTCTCAGTTCGGTGCCCATAAATAAAGTCTGATTGGAACACGGCCACGCTTGTTCGCTTCCACATTGTGGGTGGCGGTTGCCTTCGCCCTTCAGCCTCAAGGCAGAGTAGCTGTGACAGACCGCACGGCCCGCGGAGCAGAAAATATGTACTAGCCCATGCTTACGAGAAAGGTTGCTGGCAGAGACTCTGGAGCCAAATTGTCCAACTTCAGACCCTAGATCCACTGCTCACCTACTGCATGATTGGGGGCAAGTTCTCGCGCTCTCTCTCTCTCTCCCCACCTGCATTTCCGTACCTCTCAAATGGACATAATAGTTCTTATTTCAAAGTATCCTTGTAAGGATTCGATGAGTTATCACTTTACAGTCTTTGACCGGTGCCCGGCACACAGAAGTACCAAGGATGGGTGAACTTATTTTCAATCTCCCAGATTCTTAAACATCACCATCCCATGGTAGAGTAACGTATATAAGAATTCTTAAGCCTTCCTTCGATTCGATCCGCAAGGGTTCTTGAAACGTATCATTTCCTTTGCTTTTCATCATTGTTCCATATGCAAACAGATCCAGGAAGTCTTGGCTCAGACTTTGCAAATCCCAGATGGGTTCTAACTTGTTACGTCAGAGGGGAAAAAAAAGTCTGTCTTCCCCAGCAGGTGCAGGCTTTGTTAGGCAGGCGCCACCTCCTTACTCTCCAGCATTAAAAGACTTCTTTGCAAGCTCTACAAATCTTGACTGTAAAGCAAAAGCAGAATGATGAAGCCTGGATTTCCCACAAGGACAGGGATGTTTTCCTTCCTTAACCGTGGGTGGCTGGGGTGGCGTGCGGAGGGCTCCGGGACAGCTAGCACGGGGACGGTGGGCACCGACGGTATCCCCCACCTCCTGCTGCTTCCATGTGATTGAGTCGTTGCTGGGCTCCTGACCGCTCCGCGGGAGACTCGGCGGCCCAGCCTCCTGTGCAGGAGGGCGTGGTCACGTGACTAAGCGCACCCCCCCCCCCCCCCCCACCACCTGGAAAGGAGGCGACAGGCCCCGCCTCTGCTCCCGGGCCTTAAGGCATCAAGCCCGTGCTCCGCGATGCCCTCCGCCCTCCCGAGAACCACACAGTTGACAGCGACACCCGAAGCGAGGGCCAAACAAAAAGATGGTCAGAACCTGGGTCCCTGAGTGACCATGAGGAGCAAAGCAGCCCGTTACCTTGGACCCCCTCCCGGAAGGGTTCTTCTTTGAGAGTAACCATCTGTTAAGTCACCGCACAGGAGCTTAGCTTTTACCCTTAACTGACACCAAGGCCCTGCAGTCTGCTTCCTTTGGGTTACAGGTGAGGAGACTGTTTGGGCAATCCTCGCCCCCACCCCAAATCCCGTGCTTGGCTGCAGAACGTGTGCTAGACCCATTCTCTTACCTCATAGCCCCGAGCTCTGCCACTTACTTAACATGGACACGATGTTTACTTTTGGGTGATAGGCCTGCGTCACCTCAGGTCTCTGAAAGAATCCACCCGGTATTTAGCACACAGAGCCACCTGCTGCTGGGGAACAGTGTGGGTCCAATCAGGAGAGAGAAACCACATAGTAATTCAAACAGGGGAGGGTTAATGCAAGATTCAGTCACTGGAACAGGATTGGGGTTTGAGGAATTGGCTGGTAAGAAGCAGTAAAAGAGTAAACGAAGAGCAGACCTCATCAGGAGTAGCCCTTGCCCCTCAGGACTGGGGTGGGGCACTCGAGGGAGAGGCCCCCAGGGCTGAGATCCAAACGTCCGTGGAAAGGGCCTGGCTGTGGCTGACGGGACGGCAGAGAAGGGGCCCAGCTCACAGAACTTGCCAGAAATCTGCCCTCCAGGTGTTGGGGCTTACGGGAGAAGCTGCTGGCCCGCGAAGAAGAGCGGGCATGCCATTGCCGTGGATTTCAAGAACATTTACGTACACACAATGATCAACTTTTGCCCATCTTTTTTCTGTTTTCCTTAGAGACTTTCAAACCCTTTCTCTTAGAGGGACACCAGTCATTGGACTTAGGGTCCACCCTAAACCCAGGGTGATCCCATGTCAAGAGTCCCAACTTAATTGCATCTGCAAAGGCCCTTTCTCCAACAAGCCACATTCGTACATTCCACGGTCAAGCCTGAGACATGTCTTTCTGGGAACCATTATTCAAGTGATTACTATGGATTTAGAAATCCGGTTAGGTCTACAGCAAAGACCAGGTATTTCCCTTCCTTCTGCTTAAGCATGTCAGGCCCTTGACTGGTGGGTATAACTAAAGTGAGGGCCAAGCTGAGGTGGTACTCCCATCAGAGAGGAGGGGGCCAGGACCCTAACCCCTCAGGCCACCACGCCCCTCATATAGACAGGCTCCACCACACTAGAGCCCGTAGCAGAGGGGGAGTCAGGTGAGCACCAGAGGGCTCTGGTCTCCCCCGTGTGATGTGGGAGAAGCTACTTAACGTGACTCTTCCCCTGCTGTCACATCAGTAGCGCAAAGTAAATAACAACAATACTTTCTGGGGTTGCTGTGGAGCTTAAGTGAGTTAATGTATGTAAAATGGGCAAAATTCTAAAACGGCTCCCAAATTCCCACCCCACTGGTGAACACGCCTTGCACAATCCCCTCTCCTTGAGGACCTGGTGTGTATTTGCTTCACCTAGATGACCTTGCCCTTTGGAGATGAAAAATGAAGTCTACCCGTAACTTATGAGTTTCAGTGGCATGGAAGTGATCATGGAATCATGTTAGCTGCTGTTACCACATACAGCTCTAGACCCACATCCCGATGGTTCCTCATCCACAGGAGAGGGAAAAGACCTCTTCCTTCCAGCTCCAGCATGAGAAGTTCAAAAACAGCAATTCTTGTTAATGATTGGTGGATGGATGGATGGTGCACAGCAGGAGTAAATCCAACAGTTACACCACAGAAAGTAGGCAACTTCTCCTTCTCAGAAGTTTCCACCAGTTTCTACTGTGTGCTTATCATTCAGAAATCCTTTCTGTGTCTCTTAGCATTCATATGAATATGCGGAGGTCTGGCTAGGCAAGCCCTTCACCCATTTTTCATGCAAATGACTGAGTGCCAGTTTCCCTCTCTTTGTCCTGAGCATTGCCTCCTCGCTCCAGCCCGGGGCATCTGACCTCTGTGTCATGAGGCTTCCTTTCGTCTGGTTTCTGGTTTTTCTTGGCCAACACCAGGCCCTGGCAAAAGATCAGAGAGTGGGGGGGGGAGGAGTGGGTAAATGAGGCAGGAGTATTTGTTCCTGTGGCTGCCTCCCGGGGAGGTCCCCGGGCGTTGGCTACTCCTCTACCGAATCCACAGCTCCTGCTTGGGGTCCCCTCTCCAGCTCCAGCCCTGTGACAGCCCCCCCACCCCGTCAGCCCTAGGGTCATAAAGTCCCTCCCGTGGCTGCCGTCCCTCATGGGGTCCCCTTCCCCTTCCCCACACTCTGGTAAGCCGTCTTCTGTGAAACGGTGCCCCCAACAGCTGTCCCACCCCACGCTGTGTCCTCATCTGTGGCGAAGGCCAGCACCCACCTCTGGTAGTTGGTGTGAGAATCCAATGAGCCATAAAACCCTTAGCACAGGCCCAGACCTTACCCGGTGCTGGGTGAATGCACTTTGATCTCAGCCAGGCGTTATGCCAACCCAAGAGTCCCCGAGGCCCCACTGGGCGGCGTTTGCCAGGACACTTGGGACCGGCTGTCCGACTTCTGGTCACGCCCCTGTTCCAGCCACTTCACGTTGGATTCGAGCATGACGCTGGGGTTTGGGGGGTGACTGAGTGGCCCCTGTGCCCGGAAGGGAGTCATTCTCTATCCCAGGTCTACACCGGCTCCATCCGAGCAGGGGCGAGTTTGAGATCTGCTCCACTGTGGTGGTTACACCAGCCATCCACGCGGCTCCTGGGAAGGACCCAACTGGGAAAGATAGGGCCTTAATGCATCCTGTGACCTCACGGAGAGCCCGCACCGGGGAAATGGAGCAGATACAAGGAGGGAGGCAAGGGGACAAAAGTGTGAGGTTGGGGCACCTGGACACGGGGTGTCCTTGGCTTCTTAGCTCTGGTTCAGTCTCCTAGAAAAGGGGGTTAATTATATTTCTGCACCCACCTCAGGGGTTCCAGTGAGAATGTGCTTTGATAACCAGGGAGAAGTAATTCTGCTTAAGAGTTAGAATTTTCCCTGGGGAGTGTCTGACCCCTTTCATTCTTTAGACGCCAAGACAAAGAGCCTCAGGCCTATGAGTGCTTCAAGGACCTTTGGAAAGGTTTAAGACTTGAATAAAATTATAGGCCTCGAATTATGGACATAGCAATATGACGCTCAATCAATGATTACTCTACCTATTCCTTCTTCATTAATTGTGAAATTGAGTATACATACAAATCTCCCTACATTTGAAAACCATTTGTAAAGCTAGATTTTCTCATGTTACAAGAATTCGTAAGTAGGCCAAGCGATTGCCAGGAAGTAACAGCTAATTGTAGTTAAGTGAGCGACTTGCAGCTAAATCATTTTCAGAACAAAATCCCAGCCCTGCCTAACTGCCTCAGAACTCATCGTGCCAGGTGGTTGCGCATTCCAGAATCATCTCTACTTCCGCCTTTTCTCTTTCTCACACATCACGAACACCAACCAACAAAACCCACTTTCTTTAAAGATGAAAAATGCAGAAGCCGACAAAGAGAATTAGGTCGAAGATCAAATCCTTCTGGTTGCAGCTTCGAGAACAATGGCTTTGGAAGTGCATCTCCGCAAGACGGAGCTCCTAAGACACAAGGTCAAAGTCGCTATCAGCTGATGTGCGCCTCTGGCTTTTCCAGTCCTGCTTTCCCCCAACCCACTCCCCTGCAAGGAAGGGAAAGCAGATATTTTCCAAACCCACACCTCACAAAGACCAGGGATTTTTTTTTTTTTTTTTTTTTAGTGTTCACTCTCCATCACTGTAAAGTCTGTTTTTTAAGTGACTAATTGGAAAAATCTTTTTTGGCTCCCGAGGTGCTGAATCCAGATGAGGCCATCTGCCTCCTCTCAGCGTGTGTGCAGAGTGTGGTTCTGAAGCCCCAACGATCCTATCGGGTCCTCAGGGACCCCACCTGTCTCCCTACCACAGAGGAGCATTTCTGCGGGTCTCCCTCCAGAGAGCCTTTGTTCAAACACTCCAGTCACTTTGAATGGTTTATTTTATCCAACATGTTAATTAATGATTCTTGCAACAAGCTTGCAGTTAAACCATCTGACTGAGCCACCCAAAGACAGTTAACAGTCTGATTGAAAGCCAAACTTCCTATGGCTGTTTTAAAAAGAAATAACTACAGGATATGAAGAAGAAGAAGAAAGGCGATTCAACTATGGGACAGGAAGAGTCCAAATCAGCAAGGGAATAGGAAAAGTGTTCTCTTTAATGAGACGAGGCCTGCTGGCCAAATGTTAGGAATCTCGTTGTCGAGGAGCAAACGGTCTAGTTTTGGCACACAGCGTGGTAGCTTAATTAGGTGCTAGAACAAGATGTTGGAGGCTCTCAGGCAAAAATGAGACAGAAGAGTGCTTCCCTTTATATGCTTTGTTAGTTATAAAATTAGTTCATTTTCCACCTTCTGTCTGGGCACTTGGGAGCCTTCAACACGGAGGGACAGCTTCTGGGGCTGAGGCTAAGCTGAGAGTGACCCAGAGGAAGATCCACTGTGTTGTGGGAGGGGCAGGAACAGAGCCCCCAGATGTCAGGCTGGGGTCAGTCTAACCTGCTACTTCGGCAGTCCTTGCTGGGACCACAGTAAGGGGACAGGATTGGGGTGGACAACCACTTCCAACTCTGCTGACTCAGAGGCCACCCTAAAGAATATTCTGGAAACACAGCTTGAACCTGACTGTTCAGATATGCACTTACCCAGAAGCAGAACCTGCATTCTGGTTGTCCCGCTGAGGTGACATATATGTTCGGGTGGCATCCACTAGACAAAGGCCAGCTCATGCTTCTGTACCCCATTCTTTTTGTTTGAACGTTACGGCACTCGTGGGCATCAAATCAGACCAAAACAATTTTGAGGGGCTGGAAATTTTTTTTTAAGGGAATGCTATTTCCAGGGCACCTGGGTGGCTCAGTTGGTTAAGGGAATGCTATTTCAGGTTCTATGACAAAGTCATTCTGAAGACCTACCTTTCGTGGGGCACCTCGGTGATGCAGTCGGTTAAGCGTCTGACTCTTGGTTTCAACTCAGGTCATGATCTCAGGGTTGGGGATCGAGCCCCCCATCTGGTTCTGTGCTGAGCACAGAGTCTGCTTCAGTTCTCTCTCCCTCTCCCTCTGCCCCTAACCCGCTCTCTTTCTTTCTAAATAAATAAAATCTTTAAAAAAAAGACCCACCTTTTGAGACGAAGGACAAACAGCAGAGCCTGTTCACCAGCAGGGGCTGTTTACTCACCCCTGTCGTAGCCCGTGTCTACCAGCTCGTTCCATACACACCCTGCACAGAGACACGCATGGCCTCCCCCACTGGCAGCTTCCAGAGCCAGAGGGACACACTTGTGACAGCCGATGAAGCTCACAGCCTACCTAAGAGCTCACTCCTGGTGCTGTACGTTCTACGGGTTTGGACACATACCTAACGATATGTATCCGTCATTATGGTATCCCACAGAGTACTTCCACTGCCCTAAAAATCCTCTGCGCTCCACCTGTTCACCCCCCCGGCAGCCATCTTTGTACTGTGTCCATAATTTGTCTTGTCCAGAATATCATACAGCTGGAATCATACAGTAAGCAGCCTCTCAGACTGGCTTCTCTCACCTAACAATATGCATTTTAACGTCCTCCGTATCTTCTCCTGGCTTGACAGCTCATTTCTTTTAGAGTGGATAATAACCCAGTGTCTGGATGCACCAGAGTTTATTTATCCACTCACCTACTTCATTCCCTTTCATTCTCTTAACACCTTATGATTTTTTGATAGAGTGAAAAAGTATCCCAATTTACATTTTTTAGTTCAGATGTCCACGTTAGCAAGTTTATTTATGATCATATTCATCTATTTTCAATCTCATAAAACTCTGTCCACGTTTACCTCCTTGACCTAAGCCAGTGTGACTGGTTAGCAATTTGATGAAGTTCTTCTGGTAAATTTGGTGGCCTCCAGTGATGACAGAACGCAGGGGCTCTATGTCCCTCCCCTATAACCTCCCGACAAGATTACTAAAATGAAAGTATGGCTCACCCCAAATTCTACCAAATGCACAGACACTTGTTAGCAAGCAGGCCCCAAAGTCATCAGGTCCTTGGTCCCCTGGATGGACACGCTGCATGATAAGCTCTCTCCGGGGCTGACTCAGTGACATCTATGGCTGGCCTTCCAGCTGGGCCAGGCAGAGGGTCCCCTGGGAAAGAACCAGGCGAGGCAGGGTCCCTGGCTCTCAGGTAGTGATTACACAGGAGGGGGCTCTCTCCTCCCTGAAACAAATTCTTCCTGCTAACTTTGGGTTTTCACAAGTCTTTGAACACGGATAACTTTAATTAGCATGGCGACCAATCTACAGAGAACCAACAAGCCAAACCATTTTTAAGTTCTCCGAAAAATGATCTAAGGTGTATTAATCGCCACTTCATTTTGAAGACTTGATATAAAGAAAGCAAATAAAGGATCTGGGATGCTCATTTCTGTTCCGTGGACCAAGTGCTGGTCTAAATTGTCTACTTTGGGGGCACCTGGGTGGCTGAGTCTATTCAGCGCCCGACTCTTGACTTCGGCAGAGGTCATGATCTCAAGGTTGTGGGGTCAAGCCCCACATCAGGCTCCACACTGAGCATGAAGCCTGCTTGAGATTCTCTCTCCCTCTACCTATGCTCTTCCCCCTGCTCTCTCTCTCTCTCAAATAAATAAATAAAATCTTAAATAGTCTACTTTGTTTCCTGGGGCCATGATGCTCCTCCAGCTAGCAGGTGCTCCCAGGCCCACCCCTCCCAGAACAGATCCAGCTTCAGCAGAAGACATTCTTCCTAGGGGGTCTTAGGTGTGGTTGTCCGGGGAGCAAACATCAGCATTCCTGCTGGTCAGGAGTTTCCAATGAGGAAAAAGAACAGCCAGTTTTACACTGCCCATCCCCCCCCCATAGCATCCAAATAGATTGTTTTACGCAAAAAGATTGTTTTCTTGCTACGAATCCTCTCCATGTAAGGGTCTGCCAGGAAACAGGGTGAAGAGCAAT